GCGGGGCCTTCGCGGCAGCCGCGGCTGCTGGCTACGGCCTCGGGAGCGCCCTGGCTGCAGCCAGCGGACACTCTGCCTGGATCTCCAAGCAGCACGGAGTCTCCTTGTCCACGGCCACCTCCTCGGTGGTGGATTCCAAGGCCCAGGTGAAAACAGAGGGCTCAGCCCCCGGAGGTCACTACACCGACCAGCCCTCCACCTCCCAGATAGCGTACACGTCCCTGAGTCTGCCCCACTACGGTTCAGCCTTCCCCTCCATCTCCAGGCCACAGTTTGACTACCCAGACCACCAGCCCTCAGGACCCTACTACAGCCATTCCAGCCAAGCCTCTGGCCTCTACTCTGCCTTCTCCTATATGGGACCTTCTCAACGTCCCCTTTACACTGCCATCTCTGACCCTGCACCCTCTGTGCCACAGTCCCACAGCCCCACACATTGGGAACAGCCGGTGTACACGACTCTCTCCAGACCGTAGGGAATGGGGACCGGTGACCGAAGCAGCGACGGAAAGGCTCCAAAGAATCAGCACAGGCAGAAGAGCCTCCGAACTCCGAGGTCACTCAGTGCCATCCAGCCACCAGAACCCACTGAGTACACAGAAGTGCCTTTCTTGACCCCGGCTATCGCTGGCTCACCCGCCTAGAGGAAGGTTTTTCACCCTTTTGCCCTTTACCAGTTTCACGCAGGCCACGCGACTGGCTTGCGACACCTTATTGGCCTTCTAGATGAGGAGGATTCTTGACATGGAGTGACTGGTCCACAGTGGGTTTCGTTGTGCGCACCCTAGACTGTATGATGAGAGAGACATCCTTTCCTTCCTCTCCCCAGACTGCTCCAGGGAGTTAGCAAGTGCTTCCAACAGGCCACAATGGCCGACATTTTGTCACCTGCTGTGGGTGAAGGGTGATGGCTCAGCCTTGGTGAACATGTTATGGGGGGAGGAGTAGGGAGGGTGGCACAGCCAGCCTCCTCGTGATCAGCGTCATGCAGCAGTCCTGCCCAAGATTCACACATGCATGAATCTTGAACCCCGTTGGAAGACCAACCTATGCTTGCTTCCCTGCTGATTTCCACAGCTGCATCCTAGCTTTTCTCCCCCCCTCTTCTCTCCATCCTGTCTCTGTTTAATT